GCCCTTGAAAGACCACCTCTGCTTCAGGAGAAAATCAGTGGGCTAGATGCAGGTGGCAGAGTCTGTGTTTAGAGAGAAAGCATGGTGGTACTGATATTGTATGTACTATGAATAAGATCAGGAAAGAAAGTAGATGAGGTTGAGGACTATGCAGCCCACCTATGAGGAAGTAGAGATAGTAAAGACTCTGGAAGTTTGAGGCAAATCAGATGCTGCTGCGTTTCCATTAGATAGAGAGACTGTGACGTTCAGGACAGTAGGAGCCTCAGTTTCCTGGGGTAGAACTGCTGTCTGCATGATCACTTGGTTTCCGGCTCCTTAGTGTCTTTTAGTTTTGTTTTCAGGGTTTTGGGGTATGTGTGTGTGTGTATTTGGTTTCCTGTTTGAATGTTTGAATTACTTCAGTTTTGGTATATTGTAGAGAATGGAAAAAAAAAATCTAAGTAGAATTTTATCACCAAAAATGGTGCTCTCTCTCTTTTTTTTTTTTTTTTTTTTTTTTTTTGTGGTTCTGGACAACAGTTTCATCTGCCATAGAGAGTTTGAGTGATCACAGATCAGATTTTAGTTTCAGATATACTCACGGTTGATTTTAGGAGGTTCTAGTGGAATTCCTCTAGGACATGTTCACTGCTGAAGCATTACTTCTGCTTGTGTGGGTCGGGGTCTCAGCATGCGTTAATGCTGATGACTAGAGGAATATTTGAGATTTAGGTAATACAGTTTGCAATATAACAGACATGGATTGTGCTGTATATATGGTCTTGTTTCAGCCATCACCCAAGTGGTTCAGTCCAAAAGTATTGAAAAGAAATGTCATGTTTTTGTGTTTCTTCACATTTAAGAGAATCAAATCCATAATTTCTGGTAACACTGCTCTTTTCCACTTCCCCTTGCAACATGGACTGCCTGGAGATTCTTTTTGCCAAAACTTGCCCCCTCCCAACACACTCCTTTTGTTCTTTTTTTTCTTTAAATGTGGAGTGATTGGAGGTGGAACTTTTTCTCCCTTCCTGTTTCTCTGAGTCCCAGTCACCAAGCATCAGGACTCCCTTCCACAGGCATCGCTCTCCAGGGATGAGGTGGGGAAGCTGGGCCAGGGACTCCAGAATTCCCCTTGGCAGGGTGGTGGAAGGAGGACCCCTGTGATTCTTCTGATGTCCACACTTTTATCTTATCTCAGTTGTGTTTGGGGAAATGAGATTTGATGCTGGAGGTCATCAGAACTGTTATGACACTGTTTTGTAAGATATCTCATTACATTGTTTTCTTCTGTATCATTTTTTGTTGTAATCATTATTGGCCCAGGAAGGAGAAATTTTTAAACATTTTCATTTTAAAGATTCTTAATTTTCTTGCTGTAGCAATATTAATTTGAAGATTTCCTAGGTTCCCTAATTCAGAGGCAGGACAGCCAAATGGTAAAGGAGGCAACCTCTGGCATCCTGTCTTTGTTCATTTTCTGTTATTATAACAGAATACCACCTATTGGGTGATTTATAAGGAAAACAAGTTTATTTCTTACAGTTCTGGGGCTGGGGAGTCCAAGAGCACGGCAAGCACCAGATCTGGTGAGGGTCTTCTTGCTGCATTCTAATATGGTGGAGGGCATCATGTGGTGAGAGGGCATTAGCATGCAGGTCAGCTACCAGTCCCATCATGGGAGCCCCATGCTGATGGCCTTATCTAATCCTAATTAATTCCCAAAGGCCCCACCTCCAATCATCATGTGAATTTTATGGTTAAGTTTGCAACACATGAAACTAACCTGTGGGACACACTGGAGACACATTCATACCAGAGCATATCACATTGCTCCTGGTTTTAATTCTGGCTCTTCTACTTACTGGCTGAGTCCCATTGGGCAATTATTTAATTTTTTCCCCCCTTGAAGTTTTCTCTGCAAAATAAAGGTTACTAGAGTAATAATAATAAAAACAACAGTTAGTGTTTATTGAGTACTTATGGTGTGTGTGAGGTATTGTGCTAAGTGCTTTCCCAACATTTGCTTTCAGTCTCATAGCAGCCCTGAGAGGTGGATCCTGCTGTGCTTCTTGTGCTGTGGTGCAGTGGGATGACAGTAAGAGTGACCATGCACTGAGCACTCACTGTGCACCAGGCTCTGCTATGTGCTGTCTTCATGTCTAGATTCAGAAATGGAGGCTTGGAAAGGGGAAGTCATTTGCCCCATATCACATGCTACAATGTGTAGGGCCAGCATGGGAACAATGCTGTTAGACTCCAGAGGCTTCTTACTGCCTGCTCATGGCATGGTCGCAGGACTAAATGAAATAATTCCTGTAAAACACTTAAAATGGGAGCTGGCACATAATAAAAGCTTAAATTGTAGCTGTTGGTGAAGTCATACTCTTTCCTACTAAAACACTGTACTTCCTTTCCTTTGATGCAGAAGCCCCCTTTCTAATGTTATCAGTGAATGGCTTACATAGATCCTATACATGGCTATATGGCCATGGCATGCTTCCATGTGACTTCAAAAGTCCTGCAGAGTACCCTTCCACCCACCTCCAGATGGTTCTATGGTACCCCCACCAGCACCCCCATGAATAGGCTCCCTGGCGTTACTTGACAAAACAGTATGGACACATTGGGTAGAGGGAGACCAGGAGTGCAAACGTGTGTTCTAGGTTTTTTCCTGACAGGTTGATCCTATCACAATCTCTTGGATTGTAGGTGGGGTTGAGGTTTGAGGATAAGGGCATGTGATAGGAAGAGTATGTGTGGGTGGGGAGAGCCATCATCTGTAATGGGTCCCTGTGGAAGCTGAGGAGCTATAGGAGAGGCCCTGTGCTCAGGTGAGATGACCCAGCTTCAGGATCACACCTCAAAATTTCGCAGAAGCTAGTTGGTAACTGCCAACTGGTAGGTTCCTGGGTAGTAACTGCAGCAGGTTGGATGGAGTCTGTGACAGATGAGAGCATGTATCCATGGAGGGGGCAGCAGCCATCCCCACTTCGGTGACTGCAAACCCTTCTTGTCCACCTGCACCACCCTGTGGAAAATTGGCAGATGCTTTCAAAAGGCCTTCAGAGAAGAAGAGATGTGAATAGCCAGTACAGACAGGAGAACTTTCCTCATAAATGGAGCCTAAAGTGAGAAATCTTACCAGCATCGGGATTTAGGGAAATAGGTGCTCTCATATATGTGATGGGAGTCTGTGGCAGTGTCTGTCAAAACTGAAAATGTGCACACTCTGTGACCTAGAATTTTCTTTTCTTGAAACTACCCTTTTTAAAAGCTATGAGGACTGTTAGAAAAGAATATTTGCTACAGCATTGTTTGTAAGAAAAGAATATTTGCCACAGCATTGTTTGTAAAAGTGAGAAATGGGAAATGATCCAAGTGTTTATCAAAAACGCAGTGTTAGGCTGAGGCGGGAGGATCGCTTGAATCTAAGAGTTTGAGGTTGCGGTGAGCTATGATCATGCCACTGTGCTCCATGCTCCAGCCTGGGCAACAGCACAAGACCCTGTCTCAAAAAAAGGCAATGCTTACATATAGGACAGTTTACACTAAAATATTATGTATTATTAAAAAGATTAATGGAGATTTATATGTACTGATATGAAAAGATGTCCAATTTTTATGATAAGAAAAAACTAAAATCATGTTGTCCATTTTTCTAAAAAATGTTTGTACCTACAGTAAAATAATGTATGTATTACATGGACAAAATTGTAGTTTTTCCATGAACTTAAAGATTCACTAAAAATATTTGCATGTGTCAGAATTTTTAAAGTTGGAAAATCAAACTGAATTAATAAAAATCCAAATTATAGATGTAAAGGCAGCATAGCATTACCCTTTTAAGCTTTCATAAAAAATTTTACTAAATGTCTAGGTGGGAATAAATATATCATGATTTGAATAGCTAGTCAACTGTTCTAAATAGATAAGCACTTGTTTTTGAAAATATCCTTTTAAGTAATTATGAATGTATTTTTTAAATTGCTAGTTCTTTTTTCTTTATTTGCTGGCAAATTATTTCTTTATTGAGAGTGTAAATATCACATCAAATATCCAGATAAAAAATGCTAAAATTTTAGATTCTACATTGATGAGTCTTTTACTATAGTTAATCACTGGAATTTTACTAAATTATGTGCTGTGGAGGAAATTATTTTGCAATGAACCTCAGAGGTTTGGTCATTATTCAAAGTCCTCTTTCTCATTTGTATTTCAGCATTTTATGTGCTCAAACTAATATAATTAGGAATCTTCTGGACATAGCAAAATATTATAAGTGTACTGTTTGAACTCTCTAGGCCTGTTAGTTTTATCTCTTGTCAAATCAGGAATCATAGTATATATCATATGCAGCCTCACTAAATCAATCTCATGACTCCTTTTAAGTGGTCTACTTTCTGGCAATGATATCTGTGTAACTGCTGTCAGAGTTACTTGCTCTGTGCTGCTAAAGTGATGTCATATGTTATGGCCTATAATGATTCAAAAATATATAAATGGGCAGAAATGGATGTTGGAGGCTGATATGGTTTGACTGTGTCCCCATGCAAATCTCATCTTGGATTATAGTTCCCATAATCTCCATGTGTCATGGGAGGAGCCCAGTAGGGGGTAATTAAATCATGGGGGTGGTTACCCTCATCTTGTTCTTATGATAGTGAGTTCTCAAGCGATCTGATGGTTTTATAAGGGGCTTTTCCTCCTTTTTGCTTGGCACTTCTTCTCCCTGCTGCCCTGTGAAGAAGGATGTGTTTCCTTCCCTTTCTGCCATGATTGTAAGTTTCCTGAGATTTTTGTGGAAGAAAGATGTTCTTATATATGATGTCGATTACGGGAGAACCAGGCATTTCTTTAATTTTTGGATTGAATTTTGGAATACTTTAAAAATATGTAAATAAGTGATAGATATTTTGCAGGTAAAATTACGCAATCTCTCTGCATTTTTTTTCTTTTAAAGCAAACTTGTATAATTGTGATGTGCTTTTTCTTTTCTTTTTTTTTAATTTCCATAGGAAGTGACCAAGTTCACTCCTGGACGCTAGCTACAAGCCAAGCCTTAGACACTATCTGGAGAATGGCAAAAGGCTTTGTTATGTTGGCAGTTTCATTTCTGGTGGCTGCCGTCTGCTACTTCAGGAGGCTACATTTATATTCAGGGCACAAGCTGAAATGGTAGGTCACTGTATTATCTTTGAATTTCAAATATATCCTTGCTTTTCAAAGCAGAATTCTGATATTATTGTTCCCTTTATCTTTCAGGTGGATTGGATATCTGCAGAGAAAATTCAAAAGTAAGTATTTTCATTCATATATTTCTTTAAGGTACAGAGAGGGTTCAAGAAAGGAGAAGAAAGGGAAATTGACTGCTTTTTATTTTTTATTTGGTCCAGGAAACCTCAGTGTGGAGGCAGAAGTTGATTTACTCAGTTACTGTGCAAGAGAATGGAAAGGAGAGACACCCCGTACCAAGCTGATGAGGAAGGTGTGTCTGTTCTTAGAGGGTATGGGAGAAATAGAACTTGTCTGTCAAAACCAGGAAACAAACATTCCCTTCTGCTTTCCTAAATACAGAGATCTGCCAGTACCAAAATGTGAATCAAGTAACAACTGTGGCTCTAACTCAAAAGCCAAACAGCTGCTAGACCTTGGCTTTGGGCCTTGAACCTGGAGCTCGTGTCCTCAAGGACTCAGGTTGAGGAGGTCTGTAATTCTGGGAAACTCAGGCATTGTGCTCTTTCAGCTCTCTCCTGGCCAGGCCTATTAAACATCTGCATGTGCAGCAGAGACTGTCTTTGAAAAGATCAGGCACCCTGATGTAAAATATTTTGAGAATTTTTAGAATCTTCATTGGACCAATCTTGGTAATTAGCCCCAGCAGTGCTGCCCAATCTTGTCACTAGTAAAAGCAAAAATGGTGGAGAGAGTACATGTAAAGTACTTAGGATCATCCTAAAAGTACGCAGAGTTTTTCCCTGTGATTAGGTCACATCTCTTATCTGCCCAAGGTGACCTTCCCTGGCTCTGGGCTTCCAAGATTTATCATCTAAAATAGCAAGTTGCATACCTGTACAAATGAGAGCCACTTTAAAATTACATGTGGTCATATTCATAATTTATCATTGTTTCTGTTGTCCACTTTAGTTGGGAGGAACACCTCACTGAAAATATGGTGAATTCACTTTCTTTATTCTCTTGTCCAGTGGAATTAACAAATAACTTTCTCTTTTTGTGCTAATAGGCTTATGAGGAACTATTTTGGCGGCATCATATTAAATGTGTTCGACAAGTAAAGAGAGATAACTATGATGCTCTCAGATCAGTGTTATTTCAGATATTCAGCCAGGGCATCTCTTTTCCATCATGGATGAAAGAAAAGGACATTGTTAAGGTATGTCTTCCCACTAGAAATGTGGGAAATGTCATGTTGACAATAGCTGCAACTCAATGGCTCCTAGTCTTTGGGAGCTTTGTGCTCAGGGGACCATGAAATTGAAGGAATTTTTTTTTTTTTTTTATGAGACAGAGTCTCATGTCACCCAGGCTTGAGTGCAGTGGGGTGATCATGGCTCACTGCAGCCTTGACCCCCTTGGCGCAAGTGATTCTCCCATCTCAGCCTCCTGAGTAGCTGGGACCACAGGTGCATGCCACCACACCTAGTTAATTTTTGCTTTTTTTTTTTTGTAGTGACAGGGTTTTGCCTTGTTGCCCAGGTTGGTCTTGAACTTCTGGGCTCAGAATTCTGGGATTATAGATGTGAGCCATCGCGTCTGGCCAGAGGAGTCTTAAGAGGTTATGTAATCCAGTCCTCTGTCTCTTGTGTCAGTTGTAAATAAACCATCTCAGAAGATAGTCATTCTCTGTGTTTGTTTTTAATGCCACCATCTTTTCTTTAGGGGCATCTGTTCTTTTATAAGTGAGGTGATCAAGCAAAATTTGCTTTTTCACGCTACAGTTAGTGTGAGTTTTAATAAATGCATAGTTTGCAACCACCCCAAAGATTCTCTTGTATACTTTGATAGTCCATCCTCCTCCTACCCCAGCCTCTGGAAACCACTGATCTGTTTTCTGTCCCTACATTTTGCCATTTCCAGAATTTCATATAAATGGAATCATTCAATATGTAGCTTTTTGAATCTGGTTTCTTTCACTTAGCCTAATGCATTTCCAATTCATCCATGAATTTGTGAATTTGTAGTTCATCCTTTTTTATTGTTGAATGGTATTCCTTTACATGAATGTACTATAGTTTGTTTATCCATTCACCAGTTGAAGGACATCTAGATTGTTTTTAATTTGGGGCAACTGTTATAAATATTCTCGTACAGGATTTTGTATGAACAATAGTTTTCATATTGAGGGGTAATTGGAGTGAGATTGCCTGCCTGTATGCTAGGTGCATGTTTAACTTCATAAGAAACTGCCAACTTGCTTTCCAAAGTGGCCCAGCCATTTTACATTCCCACCAACAACATATAAGCAGTGTTTCAGTTGCTCCACATTCTCACCAGCACTTGATAATGTCAGGTTTTTTGGTTTTTAGCCATTATAATAAGTGTGAATTGGTATCATTATTCTTTTAGTGTGCATTCCCCAATGAGTAATGATGTTGAGCATTTTTCATGTGCTTGCTTGTCATCTCTGTGATCTTCTTGGAGAAATGTATATTCAAATATTTTGCCCATTTTTATTGTTTTTTTTTTAAATTATTGAGTCTTGAGAGTTCTTTATATATTCTGACTACAGTGCTTTATCAGATAAATGATTTACAGATATTTTCTCCAGTCTGTGGCTTATTTTCTGATTTTCTTAACAATGTCAAGCAGCACATTCTTGATAAGTAAACTGAGTTTTTATTTTGTTTTATTTATTTATTTTTTGAGACAGAGTCTCGCTCTTGTTGCCCAGACTGAAGTGCACGATCTTGGCTCACTGCAACTTCCACTTTCCAAGTTTAAGCAATTCTGCCTCAGCGTCTTGAGTAGCTGGGATTACAGGCACATGCCACCATGCCTGGCTAATTTTTGTATTTTTAGTAGAGACGAGGTTTCACCATGTTGGCCAGGCTGGTCTTGAACTCCTGACCTTGTTATCCACCCACCTTGCCTCCCAAAGTGCTGAGTTTGCAAGCATGAGCCACCATGCCTGGCCAGTTTTTATTTTAAATGCTGGCCAGTTTTTATATTAAATGTCTAATCTAGGAAGTACATTTAAGGATAGAAGAGCAAAGAAATATATATGTATTTCTATATCTCTTATATAGAAATATAAGATATTATTTTTATATCTAAGATTTAAAGATTATTTCTTATTTTTATATCTAAGATTTAAAGATTATTTCTATTTATATCTAAGATGTAAAGATTATATATTTAAAGATATAAAGATTTTTATATCTAAATATGAGATTATTTTATATACCTCACTTACATCTATATCTATATCTGTCTATCTATCTATATATAGCGGGGGAGAGAGAGAGAGAGAGGGAGAGAGTGTGTGTATGTGTTCAATTTTAACATCTTTTATTTAAACTTATTTGTTAGTTCCATTTCATCTAGCAAATGCTTGTCAAGTATATACAGCATGCTAGCCCAGTTGCTAATTGCTGAGGACAAAGATGTAAAGATACAACAGAGGCCAGGTGCTATGGCTTATGCCTGTAATCCCAGCACTTTGGGAGGCCAAGGTAGGAGTATCTCTGGAGGCCAGTAGTTCAAGTCCAGCCTAGGCAACAGAGTGAGACTCTATCTTGCTAAAAACGAAATCTAGCCAGACATGGTGGTACATGCCTGTAGTCATAGTGACTTGGGAGACTATGATGGGAGGATTGCTTGATCCTAGGAGTTTGAGATTACATTGAGCTGTGATTGCACCACTGCACTCCAACCTGGGTGACAGAGTGTATATTAGTCTGCTTTCATGCTGCTGATAAAGACAATAAAGGTGAGATTTGGGTGGGGACACATCCAAACCACATTATTCCACCCCTGGCCCCTCCCAAATCTCAGATCTTCACATTTCAAAACCAGTCATGCCTTCCCTATAGTCCCCCAAAGTCTTATTTCAGTATTAACTCAAAAGTTCACAGTCTAAAGTCTCATCTGAGGCAAGGAAAGTCCCTTCCACCTATCAGCCTATAATCAAAAGCGGTTTAGTTACTTCCTAGATACAGTGGGGGTACAGACACTGGGTAAATATAGCCATTCCAAATGAGAGAAATTGGCCAAAACAAAGGGACTACAGGCCATGCATGTCCAAAATCCAGTGGGGCAGTTAAATCTTAAAGCTCCAAAATGATCTCCTTTGATTCCATGTCTCACATCCCAGTCACACTGATGCAAAAGGTAGGTTCCCATGGTCTCGGGCAGTTCCGCCCCTGTGGCTTTGCAGGGTGCAGCCTCTCTTCTGTCTGCTTTTACAGGCTGGTGTCAAGTGCCTGTGGCTTATCCAGTTGCACAGTGCAAGCTGTTGGTGGATCTACCATTCTGGGGTCTGGAGGACAGTAGCCCTCTTCTCACAGCTTCACTAGGCAGTGACCCAGTAGGGACTCTGTATGGGGTCTCCCACCCCACATTTCCCTTCCTCACTGCCCTAGCGGAGGGTCTCCATGAGTGCCTTATCCCTGCAGCAAACTTTTGCTTGGACATCAAGGCATTTCTGTCTTAAAGCTCTAGGTGGAGGTTCCCAACACTCAGTTCTTGATTTCTGTATACCCACAGGCCCAACATCACGTGGAAGCTGCCAAGGCTTGGGGCTTGCGCTCTCTGAAGGCTTGGCCCGAAATATACCTTGCTTGGCCCCTTTTAGTCATGACTGGAGTGGCTGGGATGCAGGGCACCAAGTCCCCAAATTGTACACAGCAGAGGGACCCTGGGCCTGGCCCATGAAACCATTTTTTCTCCTAGGTCTCTGGGCCTGTGGTAGGAGTGGAGGTGGTGGGGGCGCTGCCGTAAAGGTTTCTGACATGCCCTGGAGACATTTTCTTCATTGCCTTGGTGATTAACATTTGGCTTCTTTTTATTTATGCAGATATCTACAGCCAGCTTGAATTTCTCCTCAGAAAATGAGATTTTCTTTCCTATTGCATTATTGGGCTGCGAAATTTCCAAATTTTTATGCTCTGTTTTCCTTTCAAAACTGAATGCTATTAACAGCACCCAAGTCACGTCTTGAATGCTTTGCTGCTTAGAAATTTCTTCCACCAGATACTCTAAATATCTCTCAAGTTCAAAGTTCCGTAAATCTCTAGGGCAGGGGCAAAATGCCTCCAGTCTCTTTGCTAAAACAACAAGAGTCACCATTGCTCCAGTTTCCAAGTTCCTCATATCCACCTGAAACTACCTCAGCGGGCATTTCATTATCTATCTCATTATCAGTATTTTGGTCAAAGCCATTCAACAAATCTCTAGGGAGTTGTAAACTTTTCCACATTTTCCTGTCTTCTGAGCACTCCAAATTGTTCCAATCTCTGCTTGTTACCCAGTTTCAAAGTTGTTTCCACGGTTTCGGGTATCTTTTCAGCAGCACCCCAGTCCTGGTACCAGTTTACTGTATTAGTCTGTTTTCATGCTGCTGATAGAGACATACCTAAGAGTGGGCAATTTACAAAAGAAAGAGGTTTAATTGGACTTACAGTTCCACGTGGCTGGGGAAGCCTCACAATTGCTGAAGAAGTCAGAGGAGCAAGTCACATTTTATGTGGCTGGTGGCAGACAAAAAGAGAGAGCTTGTGCATGGAAACTCCTCTTTTTAAAACCATGAGATCTTGTGAGACTTACTTACTGTCACAAGACCAGCACAGGAAAAAGACTTGCCCCATGATTCAGTTACCTCCCACCAGATCCCTCCCACAATACATGGGAATTCATGAGATTTGGGTGGGGACACAGCCAACCCATATTAAGTGAGACCTTGTCTTTAAAAAAGAAAACAAAATAAACCACCAAGAGTGGAGATTCCCAGGCTCAATAAACTGAGTAGGGTGGGAAAATGTACTGGATACCTATGATGGGTTAGATTCTTACATACACCATAATCTTATTTAATCCTAACAAGAGCCCTATATAAAATGTTCAGTATTATCCATATGTTACAATGGGGGATGAGGCTAAATAGTTAAATAATCCATGCTGGTTAAGTAATCTCTCAGCTGGTGAGTGACAGCTAGGTTTGAACCACAGAGTGCATCATTCTAAAATCCACCTGTTCCCTGATACACTATATTGCCTTAACATCATTTGGTTAACATTTATTTCTAGGCCGGGTGCGGTGGCTCACACCTGTAATCCCAGCACTTTGGGAGGGATCATGAGGTCGGAAGATCAAGGCCATCCTAGCTAACATGGTGAAACACCATCTCTATTAAAACTACAAAAATTAGCATGCCTGCAGTCCCAGCTACTCAGGAGGCTGAGGCAGGAGAATTGCTTTAACCTGGAAGGCGGAGGTTGCAGTGAGCCGACATCGCACCATTGCACTCCAGCCTGGTGACAGAGTGAGACTCCATCTCAAAAGATAATAATAATAATTTATAAAGGGCTACATATAGTAAGTTTGGTAAATATTTTATCAAAAAGATTGTTTCTATGGTCATAATTCTATGTTTTCATCACTTATGAAATTGTAAGAAAATGATGTAAAATAAGCTAAGTCACAAATCTAAAAGAAGGCAATACACTTTTTATTTAACCATTGCTATAGTCTTTCTAAATAAAGATTGCTAAATGAGATAAGGTCGGGCCAGGTGCGGTGGCTCACGCCTGTAATTTCAGCACTTTGGGAGGCCAAGGCAGGAAGATTGCTGAGGTAAGGAGTGCGAGACTAGCCTGACCAACAAGGTGCAACCCCATCTCTACTAAAACTACAAAAAATTAGCCAGGCGTGGTGGCTCACTCCTGTAGTCCTACCTACTTAGGTGGCTGAGGCACAAGTATTGCTTGAACCTGGAAGAAGGAGGTTGCAGCACTGCACTCCAGCCTGGGCAACAGAGTAAGACTCCATGGTAGAAAAAAAAGAGAGAGAGAGAGAGAGAGAGAGAAGGTTGTGGTTGTGCTATACACCAAATTGTGTGTAATAAACCTTCATATGCTAATCATGGTGTCTACTTCCTTTATAAGCTTCCTGAAAAACTGCTGTTTTCACAAGGTTGTAATTGGATTCAGCAATACAGTTTTGGTCCTGAGAAGTACACAGGTTCAAATGTGTTTGGAAAATTACGGAAATGTGTGGAATTATTGAAAACACAGGTAAGTGTTTGCGGGGGAAATAAAAAAAAACTAGGTATAGAAGGACATATCCCAGATATAGCCAGTTTTCTTTAATGTTGGGCACATCACCTTATGTTAGGAGAGTAAGAAGTGCAAGCAGAAATGCTTCTAGTAACTGATGATTTCCCTCCTTATTCTTCCTTCTCCTTCAAGAAGGGAGTGAGCAACATTGTTCTACATGAAAATTAGGTCCTATAGGGTCTGGGGGCTTTTATGGGCTGGCCTGCAAACCTTACCAGTCAACCTTTGTTTCCCCAGAAGAATGTGGTGCAAGTTCCAGGCAAAGTGCTCAGAAATGCTCTTCTGGAATGCACCCTATTCAGACAACGTGGTAATGGTGCAAATGTAATCTGATTAAGAGTTTTCCTGTCTTTTAATAATGACACAGATTTTGGCTGATCGGAATGAATCCTGAGCCTACCACTAGCTGGGTTACCTTGGGAAATAACCTTTCTGGTCCATAGTTTTCTTATGTATAAAAGAGAAACATCAATAGTGTATACCCTGTACGATTATTGTGAGGATTCAATGACTTAATACACAGAGTGCTTTAAACTGTGCAGGATACACAGTGAATGTTAAAGCACACTAGCACTTTTCTTCTCTGGAATATCCTTTGTATAATCCATCCATCCTAAGCAGTTTTGGAAAACTGTCTTGCTTTGTGTTTTGGGTTGTACTTTTTGAAAACAATATTTTATGTAAACGAATTTATTACCGTAAATGTTTTATGGTCAGCTTAGGCTTCTATAACAAAATACCATAAATTGGGTGGCTTAAATCATATTGATTTTTCACAGTTCTGGAGACTGGAAGTCAGAGATCAGGGTGCCAGCACGGTGGAGTTTTTGGAGCCCTCTTCCTGTTTTACAGACAGCTGTCTTCTTGGTGTGTCTTCACATAATGGAAGAACTAGCTAGCTCTTTGTCCTCTTCTTATAAGAGTACCAAGTTCATTAATGAGGGCTCCACTGTCAGGACCTAATCACCTTCCAAAGGACACACCCTCTAATACCGTCACATTGGGATTAGGGTTTCAACATAGGAAGTTGGGGGAGACATGTTCCATCTATTGCAGTATACTTTATGGTTAAAAAGAATCAAACAGTGGCAAAAGATATAAAGTGAAAAGTTAAAGTTCTACTTTTTTCTATTAATCTTTGGTTTATTTTATAAATACTTTAAAAGTTATGGAATGGTGTATGCCTTCACCTTTATCCTTCTGAATTTCACTTTTACATCTATGTTTTTAGTGGACTGAATTTAATGGAATTAGAGATTATCACAAGAGAGGAAGTATGTGCAACACCCTTTTTTCAGATGCCATTCTGGAATATAAACTTTATGAAGCTTTAAAGTTCATCATGCTCTATCAAGTCACTGAGGTTTATGAGCAAATGAAGATGAAAAAGGTCATTCCCAGTCTTTTTAGACTCCTGTTTTCCAGGGAGACATCCTCTGATCCTTTGAGCTTCATGATGAATCACCTGAATTCCATAGGCGACACGTGTGGACTAGAGCAGGTAACTAGGGAGGAAGAACTGCTTGTGTTTGATTAAGGATGCTGTGGCACTGTTTGAACACAGATGTCTGGGGTTGACTTTCAGTGGTGATATAAGCAGCCACACAGAGGTGGTTGATTGATATTTTGCCCCTCAAATGAGGAAGACTAATAAACCTCATTGCTGTGTGCTGGCTGGCTGCTTTGTGTCTCCCCAGACCTCTGGCCAGAGAGCACCAGTTCTGGGGGCCTTTCTGACCTCTCGCGCTGCTTCCCAGATGCTAACAGGTTCTCTCCACATAAACGTTCACCAGGAAAAAGTCCAGTTGGAAAATGAGATAACTTTAGGAAAGCATTTGGTTACCTGTTGCAGATAAATATAAATTAATTGAAACTTTCTAAAACCAGGAAATGCTTTTATACCTATAGAAAACTGTTTCTCTTTTGTTTTGCTTTCCTAGAGGTAATTATCTGACATTTTAAAACAAATGGATATAAAATGATATAAAACTTGTTAGAAAACAATGTAGTTTGTATCCCGAGTGTTCCTCTGTTTTTTTACTATAACTTTTCTTCAGGAGGCTTTTTTCCTGTGATTTTTACTTGCTAGTCTACAGAGTTGTTCCTATGCTCATCCCCTTCCTTCCACACAATGAGTTTGTTCTGAACTCTGTGCCCACTCAGTGGTGTGTGGGTGGGTTTGTCAACAAGCGGATTATTTCATAAACTGCAGAGGAATACTTCCCCCCACTGTGGTGGGAAGCAGGAATTTGAAAGTGTGTATCTGTGACCTGTCTTTCATCTCATCCACAGATTGATATGTTTATACTTGGATACTCCCTTGAAGTAAAGATAAAAGTGTTCAGACTGTTCAAGTTTAACTCCAGAGACTTTGAAGTCTGCTATCCAGAGGAGCCTCTCAGGGACTGGCCAGAGATCTCCCTGCTGACTGAGAACGACCGCCACTACCACATTCCAGTCTTTTAAGTTGGCTGGGGGCCGAACAGCAGTAGTGACAGTGGTCACAGTTGCATATAAAGTATCTCTCTGAAACCAAAGCTAGCATTTTAGCATGGAAGGAATTAGGACCTTTTCCTAAGACTACAGGTACACTGGATGTAGCAATACATGGTTGGTTTTCCTTTATTTTTCAGTGATTTCCTCCGAAGCAGCTGCACTGATGTATTTGCGTGTTGGTGGCTTGACTTTGTTCATTAGGGGCGTGGTCACTTCACATGATGGAGGGCCTTTAAGAGCACAAAGAAGTTTAACACAGACAACAACAGGAAAAAGCAAAAAGAAAACAAGTAGGGAAAAATGGCTACCCTGGAGAGAAAGAATCTCTTTAACCTTTAAGTTCTTCATTAAAAAATCTTATCTTGGACTGATTTGGGGGATTTTTATAAACATGGCCTTATTTTATAAGCATTACCTTCCCAGGAATCTTCATTGTATATTAATTTTTGATAACCATTTGATTAACTTTAAAATTGTGTGTATGTATATATATACACACACACACATGTATGTTTATACACACGTATCTGTGTATAGTTTTATATATACATATATACATGTAGACATACAGAGAAATAACCACTACTTTATAATACTGTACAGTTTGTTTTATATCCCTTTACATTTTTTTTGTTACTGTTTTCTCTGGCCAGCTTAATAGTTTTATTTAGACAGAAAAAAAGATAAATTCTGTAGATTAAAGCAAATGACAGTTATTGAACTATCACAGAAATATTAAACTGTGGTATATTTAATGTGTGGAATCTCATTATGGTAGGCAGAATAATGCCCTATGCTCCCCAAAGATGTCTGTTTCTGAATCCTTAGAGCCTTTGCAGGGCTAAATGGGTTAAAAGGGAAAGGAGAATTAAGGTTGCAGGTGGAACTGAGGTGCTAATCAAGTCACTGATGTTGAAATAGGGAGATTTTTCTGGATTCTCCAGGTGGGCCCAGTGTAGTCAGAATGATCCTTAAAAGTGGAAGAGGGAATTGGAAGAGTGTCAGAGTCAGAGGGAAATGTGAAACGCACCATTGCTGGCTTTGAAGATGGAGGAAGGGGCCATGAGCTAGGGAGTGCAGGCAGCCTCTAGAATTGAGACTGGCAAGAAAACAGAAACTTCCCCAGAGCCTCCAGAAGGAACATAACCCTGCCAACACCTGATTTTAGCCCAGTGAAGCCCGTGTTGGACCTCTAATCTGCAGAACTGTAAGGTAATAGATTTGTGTTTAAGCCACTGTTTGCGGTAATGTGTTATAGCAACAGAAAACTAGTATTTCCAGACTAGTTTATGGTCATCTTTATTTTGGAAATACTTTTCTAGTTTAATTTGATAATCTTTATTTTGGAGGTACTTTGCTAGTCTGAGTTTTAGTACATAAACATAATTTTAAAACTTTTGCTGATTATATATTACTTCAAAGTCGCAAATCCCTAAGAATGACTTATTTCACGAGATATTTAGCACTATCATTTTTCCCAGATGTTCATATTATTTCTGCAATAAATTAAAAAGGTGTGTGTTAAATGCTGTCACGTCTGAAATTAACATTCATACTCTTTTGCAATGGGGATGATCAGTCGTGTGTGCTACATGAACCCTGTCTGATAGTAGCTTGTTCCCACTGTCATTTTGTTTTCCGGTTGAAGATTAATGGGCTCAGCTACACAAAGAGTTCTTTTTTTTTTTTTCTTTTTAAGGAGGAAGGGAGGAAGGCAGGAAGGGAGGGAAGGAGGAAGGGAGGGAGGAAGGAAGGGATGAAGGAAGGAAGGAAGGGAGGAAGTGGGGGAGGGAGGGAGGGAAGGGAAGGAAGGAATGCAAGCAATGAGAGAGACATTGCAGACCTGGATCTAGAGGTTTACAAGTTGATTTCTTTTTTTGAGAGAAGGAAAGAAAAAAAAAATGAGTAAAGGAGAGAAAGAAAGAGGAAGAGAGTGAGGGAGGGTGAACGGAAATATTGCTTTATTTCGTTGATGAAAATTCTTCTTTATGTTGGTGCTCTTTACTTTTTGGTATATTTTTAGTAAGGCTAATACTGGTTGTTTCTTTCTGTGTGTAATGCCTCTTTCAGAAGCTCTTGTAAAGCAGGCCTGGTGGTAATAAAATCTCTGAGTACTTGCTTGTTCATAAAAGATTTTATTTTTCCTTCAGTTGTGAAGCTTAGTTTGGCTGGATATGAAATTCTGGGCTGAAGGTTCTGTTCTTTGAGGATGTTGAATATTGACCCCCACTCTCTTCTGGCTTGTAGAGTTTCTGCTGAGAGATCTGCTGTAAGTCTGATAGGCTTGCCTTTGTGGGTAACCTGACCTTTCTCTCTGGCTGCCCTTAGTATTTTCTCCTTCGTTTCAACCCTGGTGAATCTAACGATTATGTGCCTTGGGGTTGCTCTTCTTGAGGAATATCTTTGTGGTGTTCTCTGTATTGCCTGGGGTTGAATATTGACCTGCTTTGCTAGTTCAGGAAAATTTTCCTGAAGGGTATTTTCCAGCTTGGATTCATTCTCTCCTTCGCATTCAGGTACACCTATCAAACGTAAATTTGGTCTTTTCACATAGTCCCACATTTCTTGGAGACTGCTCATTCCTTTTTATCCTTTTATCTCTAATCTTGTCTTCTTGTTTTCTTTCATTAAGTTGGACTTTGACCTCTGTTATCCTTTCTTCTGCTTGAACAATTCGAGTGTTTAAACCTGTGCATACTTCTCGGAGTTCCTGTATTGTATTCTTCAGTTCCATTAATTCACTTATATTCCTCTCTAAGTTGTCTATTCTCAATAGGATTTCGTCAAACCTTTTTTCAAAGTTCCTAGTTTCTTTACGTTGGGCTACAACATGTTCTTTTAACTCACAGAAGTTTCTTATTATCCATTTCTTGAAGAGTGATTCTGTCGTTGGGATGCGCTCGTTCTCTGTCAAGCCTTGTTCCATTGTTGATGTGGAACTGTGATCATCTTTAGAGGGAGAGGAGTTCCGATTTTGAGTATTCTCAGCCTTCTTACGCTGGTTTCTTCCCATCATTGTAAATTTATCCTCCTGTCGTCTTTGAAATTACCAACTTTCAGATTAGGTCTCTTGATTGGACGTCCAAGTTGTTTGTTCCCAGGGCCAGAACGGCGGCATTAAGACTGATGGTGCTTTTCTGCCCAGTATTCTCCTGTCTGGCTTCCTTCTTGTGTCCGTAATGGGTGACTCTGCCTTCCCCGGGCTCCAAACCTTGCTCAGAAGGGGAACCAGTCTCATTTACTCTGCCGTGCTGAGGTGCCATCACAGCTGCTGCACCGGTCTCAGGAGTCGTGCTGGGGACCCGTGTGGATCCTCCAAACCTCAGTCAGAAGGGGAACTGGCCCTGTTTACTCTGCTCCGAGAGCTGCCTCGCCGAGGTGGCGGCGAAGCTGCTGCGCCGGCCACAAGAGTCGCACTGGCGGCCCATGTGGGTCCTCCAAGCCTCTGTCAGAAGGGGAGCCAGTCCTGTTTACTCTGCTCCGAGAGCTGCTGCGCCGAGGCGCCGGCCACAAGAGTCGCACTGGCGGCCCATGTGGGTCCTCCAAGCCTCTGTCAGAAGGGGAGCCAGTCCTGTTTACTCTGCTCCGAGAGCTGCTGCGCCGAGGTGCCAGCGAAACCGCTGTGCAGGCCACAAGAGTTGCGCTGGCAACCCGTGTGGTTCCTCCACTGTGGATCTTCTGCTCCATGAGCAACCAGAATTTGTCTGAAAGTGTGGCGTCCTCTAGTTCTCTCCACAAAGAGTTCTTAATTGACCTCTACTGTCCCTTCCTGTTTGGAAACACCTATGGTTTTGCATAACCCCTGACACTGAATTGACAGTGTTAGAAGATAGTCCCCGGATGTAGTACTATAACTAAGAAAGCATGAACACCACCCTTTCTGGTGACAGCCTGCCATGCCTGCTGTGGCTGATGCTTATAGAATTGCTGCTCCAAAGTTTTGGCTCCACTTGAGCTGTCCAGGAGCCTACCAGGCATTTGTGCATTACTACTCACCTTGGATCTCCTTACCAATATAATTATTTCCACATCAGTCCAGGACTGAAAGGAAAAATGTTTTCACCAGGATTGGCAGCCTGTAGCTCTGTGACCTCAGTCAACCCTTCATGTTGTGTTGTGGGGCAGGGTGGCGAGGGCGCAGAATTCTTTAGAGAACCAAGTGGCGAAAAAGATTTCAATCCAGTAAAAGTAAAAAGTAAGGACATTTAGATAGTTGCTATATTTGGGGAAGTTATCAAAACAGGTTTATAGGGAGGAGGTATGAGGTGTTGCTTTGTTTTTATTCAGTTGTGTAATGAATATAACAAGTAGCCAGAAGGAGCTTCGTATTAATTAGAACCATATTTAAATGTCAACAGTAAATTTGACGTGAGCTTCCTGTGTGATGCCAACATCTAAATGTCTTTCTAACCTTATATGTTTTAAATGGTGAGAGAACTATAGCAAAGTTGAAAACATAATGCTCTTGTCCTTTTCTGATTTTAGGATAAGTTTCTCTCTTAAATTTTGGACTTAACATGTCCATACTGAGGGGTTATATGAATATTAGTACGAGGCTGACTTTTACTGTGGTAAAATGTGCGTAACATAAAATTTGTATTTTAACAATTTTTAAGTGACGGTGGCATTAAACATATTCACATTGTTGTGCAGCCCGTACCACCATCCACCCCCAGAACTTGAAAATCTCCAAGACTGACTTTTTTCATAGCAGGCAACTTTAATTCCCCACTTGATACCTGGATTCCTTTTTCTTTTCACGCTATCTTTTTATAACACCCTTCTAATCTGAGTATTTCTTCTGGGCTTAAAAGATCCTCAGTGGAGAAGTACAACCTAAGAGGGAGTTAGGCGACCAAATGGATCAGGAAAAATCGTGTTTATCTCAAAAATAAAGTGGTAATTATGGGTGGCTTCTGGGCTCAACTTAGAACATTATCGCTGAAAAGTCCCCAAGAAACTATGAATTCAGAGCCACTCTGGTGAATTAAATTTTTTGAATGTCTTCATGGTCTTGAACCAAAGTCATTTCCACCAAAGGGGGAGTCAGGTGAAAGTCCCCAGGGCCCTCTCTAGGGCACAGGAGACCTCCAGAATAAGCTGGTGGAGGAATTGGCTCCACCTCTGGGAGGGAAGAGCAGCCGGGATCAGGGGGCATTAACATTAATTTTCCCAGGACTTTACTGCAAATGGGTGTTGGATGGAAATATTTGTTGTTCTCAATCAGATGAGTTTCTCTTATTTTAGTGAGACTAAAGAAAGACAATTTTAATTCCATCTAAGCTTGTCTTGGGATGGGAAAAAATAACTTTTTTGAATGCTTAGGAGATACTGGAATTCCACATCAAAGTATGTAACTGTTTTTAACTGATGACTACTCAATATGTGAAAATATAAACAAGCATGAATATAGGGATGACTGATTCCAGAATTAGCAATAATTTTCCCTTAAATAACAAATTTGTAAAGCTGTATGATTCTGTTTGCAAGATGTTTTTCATACTGCTTAACAAGACCAGTTACTGTGTAAAATAAAGAATATATATATATATCATAAATATATATATATATATAAATGTATTTTCATGGATCTGAAACTTTATAGGATTGTTTGTCATAGTTGAACATTATTTAATTAACTTATTGATTATATGGAGGTATATTTTTCTCGATAGCCATTCACTTTTTAAAAGTTTTAATTAATTTAACTGACAAATTAGCCATTCACTTTCCTTCAAATCCTATTTTAATCACAACGTCCATTTTATAGCTAGACAAAATTTAGTGGGTCCAAAATGTACAATCACTTCTATGTTATTTGTTCAGAGTAGTGAATCTTTGCCTAATTCACTTTTGTTTTAATCCCATCATACTCTTTTGGGCCAAGAAAATGAAAGCTCATATGGATTATATTTATGCTTAATATCAACATGGTTTGTAAGTAGACAGAAAAACCACTCACTCACATATTTAGCCACCCATGGACTGGAGTGCTCTGTAGAACAGCCCGAAGTATACACTGTGTCTCCGCACTTGAAGCTCATGGAATGTGCTGGAGGAGACTTGAGCTCTATGTGGAGCCAGTGTGGCCCAAGAGCCAGCATGGAGGAGGGCTGTGTGAGCAGACTGCTGTAGAATGCTAAAGTTATAATCCTAGCTGGTGTCTCGTTCTGTTTAAAAAATGAAACTTCTTTATTTAATTGATGCATTGTTCCTTATAGTATCATCGGGATTGTTAAGTCATTTTGCTGCCACCAGTGAGTCTCACTCACTTATTTGTAATAATTCTTGGGAAGTTTAGTCAAGAGTATCTATAAATAAAGAAGTACATGTTTTAAGTATTTTTATCATAGTCTAGATGGGTTGTAAAACCCATTTCTACATGAGTATAAATTTAAAACAGAAATTGTAGGTGTCAGCAATCATCTTTTGATTTTGTTTTGCTCGTTCACAAGTTTGAAAAGGTACATGAGGCACCAATTAGTGACACTGGAATTGCTTTAGGGATGGTTTGTGACTTTACCTGGATTGGGCTTTATCATTTGTCAACAAACCTATTGGGACAAACACAAGTAGCTGAGATACTACTGGCCCCAGTTCTTGTCATCTCTGCCATCTCCAAAGACAGAATCTGGGAAATAACTTGGGAACTGCTTCAAGTCCACGTCAGGCCATGGCTTCGTCCGCTCCCCAGCATGTGCCTGGACTTCCTTTGGGTGCTGGCTTTTCTGCTGGACCAAGAGCTTCATGGAGAGAACGCCAGGGCAAGGTGAGGAGAAGCAGCTGGTACAGACTGACAACGAAGGAGAGGACTGGAAAAGCTGCTTGTGTGTGGTGGAAGTTTCAGTGTAATGCGATTCCAAGTAGGCACATTTGTGATTCAATTAAATAAAAAGGGGCAGAGATGAGGGAATGCCTGGTGAAAATGGTGTTTGTTGTAACATCTTGGTATCATTGTGGGTAAGTAGGAAAGACATATATTTACATCTCTCTTATGAAGAGCTACCTTTAGCCATAGATAAACATTAAAAGGAAGACTCAGCCCCATAGTATATTTGATCTATAGATAACTCATCTATCAGCAAATGGTTAAGTAAGTTAAATTAAGTTTAACATTTGGTGTGTGTTTCACAGGGTAACAATGAAGTGCTCCAATCTGCTTGTGAGACCAGTTACATTAGTAGTTGAATTTTGGACCATTCCTCCTGTATGTCTTCACAAGCAAATTGAAATGATGTGCTGTTCTTTGTACTAGACAGGACACACCACAGATCCTCTTTTTAAAGCAGGCAATAAAGTGGCTTTTTCCTTTTGAAATATCATTGTAAAGCAGTGCTTTTTAAACTATCCATGGTAAAGGATGAGTTTTAAAAATTCCAATCCTTTGCAGATTGGTAGTTTTATAAACACAATAAAAATATAGCACCAAGATCAGATTGCTATAAAAGTTTCTAAACGCTTTCAGTTTCTGTACTTGATCTTGCAGTGTGGTAATAAAAACTTCCACACTTTAGTAGCACTAAAATATGAGTTTTAGGCAAGATTCAACAGATTCTGATATTTGGTGGCTGAGATTTTGCCTCGAGTAGGAGGATAGTGCCTTTGGGTTTCTGCTACTACTGGTCTAACTAGGGCCACCGTGTGGGCTTGTGCACACACATCTTGGTCGGTTGTCCTGGACTAAGGAGGTGAATGAAGCTGAGATCGTCTCTCCAAGCCATGAAGGGGATGAGGTATCAACTGCCCCAAATGAAGGATTGTCTGTTTCTGCCAGTAAACCTCAGTCTGTTGGCCAGGCCCTGCACCAGTAGGGTGGGGTTGTTTCCTGATTTACATAAAGGATTGTTTTGGCAGGAGGTCCCTGGATCAGCCAGATAGTCCCACTACCAAGGTGCACGTTGCAGGAAGAGGATACTGTTTGGAGAAGACATTCATGTGTTTCTCCAGACCCTCTGAAAAAAATTGGCAGGAACCTCCTTGAGTTTACAGTTCTTTGTGCTTAAGAAAAATTGTGACATTTTGTTTCTCAACTGGATTTCAAGTTCCTTGTGGGAATGGATGTAGGTCTCATATCATGGTGTCTAGAACAGTGCTCATATAAATGTCAGAGGAATTCCAAATTGCAAATTGATAATGAGAGCCAAGCTTAGCTGTTGTTTCTGAAAGAGGCAAAGAATCTAACTGTGATTATGTTCCCCGGAAATTTCTTTTTATTGATTCAGGACTTGAAGAGAGCCAGTTTTTAGATGTAGTTGGGGCACAGAAGCATGCACTGACATTTTTATCAAGTCTGTGTGGCCTACAGAATGGACACAAGTCAAACCAAGTTTTGCTAGCAGTGTATCCCTAGTGAGGTTAAAACTAGCAGGGCCATCAAGTTCACCCAGAAACACCCAGACTGATATGCCTGTGAACGAATATGGGATCACAGACTCCTAAGAATGGAGAAACTTAAGATATCCTGGGGCCTGGGTGTGGTGGCTCATGCTTGTAATCCCAGCATTTTGGGAGGCCAAGGTGGGCAGATCACTTGAGGTCAGGAGTTTGGGACCAGCCTGGCCAACATGGTGAAACCTCATCTCTACTAAAAATACAGAACATTAGCTGGGCATGGTGGCAGGCGCCTGCAATCCCAACTACTCAGGAGGCTGAGGCAGGAAAATCGCTTGAGCTGGCAGATGGAGGTTGCAGTGAGCTGAGATCGTGCCACTGTATTCCAGCCCAGGCGACAGATTCCATCTCAATAAAAAGAAAAGATGTCCTGGGAATGCGGATACCTTGTTCCACTGCCTATGTAAGGGGCCTCACCCTGACCTGCCAGCTGCCCTTCCTGAGGTCGGTGGAGCCTCCATGCAGTTTCCAGGTTGGAGATGCAATGTATGATCTAGCTGGTGTGGCAAATAGGAAGCAAGAGCAGAGGCATGGCTGGAGCACTCAAGTCCATTCAGATAATTATCAAATTGGAAACACAGGGATGCAGCCAACATGCACAGCTGAAATCGGGAAAAAAATGAGGGCCCTAGAGGCTTACCACCAACACAGAGGAAAGCCCCTTTTGATGCCAAGTGGGATTGGAAAGAGTTAAACAGCAGGTGGCATTGAATGGTCTCTTCTCCACCTAACTCTACTAACCTGGACACATCCATTATCCCTTGATTTCCTAACAGTTTTGACACTCTCTAAAAGACAAACAGCTTGCTTGGCATTTGCAGGCCTCGAGGATGGTGTGGCTGAAGAGGAGCCCCAGGTTAAATATCTGCACTAAGAACAACTTTGAGCAAATTAATAAATTCTAAGTATGTGTGTATTTTTATTAAGATGACAAATGTTTATCAGCTAAAGTTTGTTTTATTAATATAATCAGGCCAGACACGGTGGCTCACGCCCTTTATGCAAATCAGCTACTTGGGAAGCTAAGGCAGGAGAATCACTTGAACCTGGGAGGCGGAAGTTGCAGTGACCCAAGATCGTGCCCCTGCACTCCAGCCTAGGTGACAGAAGCGAAACTGTCTCAAAAAACATGTTTTAAATACATCTATAATGTATATGTTATATATATTATATATTATAAAATTATATATAATTAGGAAATATTGCCTAAGCCTAAGTCTGTCTTGTTAGAAATGAAAAAAATTTAGCTGGCATGGTGACACATCACCGTAATCCCAGCTACTCGGGAGGCTGAGGCAAGAGAATTGCTTGAACCCAGGAGGCGGAGGTTGCAGTGAGCTGAGATTGTGCCACTGCACTCCAGCCTGGGCAACAGAGCAAGAGACTCCATCTCAGTAAAAAAAAAAAAAAACGAAGGGCACAGGGTTTGAAACATGGCAGACGACATAGACCAGCAATAAACTACCAACACTGTAGAGGAGCCCCTGAATCTTATCAGGCATAGCCTAGATGAGTGAATTTATGTGAAAATGAGAAATGACCGAGAGCTTCAAGGCAGATTACACGCTTATGGTCACCGTTTAAATATGATCTTAGGAGATGTAGAAGAAACTGTGACTACTATAGAAATTGATGAAGAAACATATGAAGAGATATATAAATCAACGAAACGAAATATTCCAGTGCTCTTTGTCCAGGGAGATGGCGTTGTACTGGTTGCCCCTCCGCTGAGAGTTGGGCGAAACAAAGAATTTGTCCTGTAAGGAAACAGGAGACTTTGACAAGGGGCCTCTTTAAATGTACAAGACATTCAAAAGAGAGAAACCTGTATACATTTTGGTATTAAGAAATATTTCCAGGGATTCTTCCACTCCTGAAATGAGTCGATTTGCAGATAACTCACAACTTCTTAAGCTAAATTGTATTTTCATTTTTCTCGAGCTCTTCCAATAACTATGACCACCAAGATGCAGAACTCTTTTTCAGGACTTCTTGTGCTCCATAATTCTCACAGATATTTTTCTGATTTTTTCTTTCTTTAAATTAAAATTGGTGTTTTCTTGTGAAAAAAAAACAACAAGAAATGACTTCTAATGTTCTTTGGGTTCTGCTGAAGCACCTTAGGTTGTGAGGGTAGAAAACCTCTTGAGTGAATTGGATTGGGAGAATCCCACCCACCGCCAGGGCAGGAAGTACAGCCAGTCCTCACTGGAAGTTGCCTGAGATCTTTAAAGTCAAGAATTAAGGTTACCAGCTGCATTTCTGCTGGTCCATGAGGTCTCATATCTCAAGATTGCTATGCCTTAAGCTGTACATTTATCTCTCCCTCCTCCTCACTTTGTCTCTTTCTTTGTCTTTCTCTACCTCTATCCCCACTCCTCATCCCTGGAATGTGAAATTGCGCCTACTACTGAACAGAACTGCACCTCAGTTCACTTGTTTGGGTTCCTGAGAAGCAAAATCTGATTGGCTGAGATTCTATGGCCCTTGGACCACATGCCCATCTCTAGACAATCATCTGTAGCCACAGTATGGGGAAAGGGGTCCTCCAGAGCAGAACCATAGTTTCCATAAAATGCCTGAGCAGGACCATACCTGAAACCATGTCTTACACGTGTTAGGCTTCTCACCTTTCCCCTTTTGTGATGGCTGATGAAGCCAATTCACATCAGTGCATAACTAAAATTGGCAGTTATCCAACTAGAATCCTCACTCATAAAAATGTTAATCAGTTCATTTGAGAGGAACGAAGACAACTGGTGGGTGACACAAATCTTAGGGTAGCAGTCACTCAAAGTTGTTCTTACGAAGTAGTAGAAGATAGAAGAAAAAGTTACAGATGCCCAGAAAAATTCCCTTCATGGGCAGGTTTGTTGTTTTTGGTTTTGTTTTTGTTTTTAAATAGCTGAAAACATACTTGTGCTATTTTTAAAATTCAAAAAAAAAGCTCTGTGTTACTCCAGTATTTTGATGGAAATGAATTACAGTTTCTTTTGTCCTCTAAACCTGAAGCTAGGTACGTTTTCAGCCCCACATTTACCCTGCAGCTGGTTAGCTCTGTTTGCAAAGCATTCTGGCTCCAGTACTTGAACTTCATGTTGCAGACGTGGAATCTGTCATTGTCAGCTTCCTTTGGGTTCCATGACGACTTCCTTAATTTGTTATTCTCTTTGCGCCATGAGTAGTAAATACTTACTGGCAATGAGAAATTAGCTCCTCCACTCTTAAGCATAAGCATGAAGGTCAAATGTCATGGTCTGAAGCTATATGCACAGAATTCCCAGCAGCTTTGTCATGGGTAGTTTTATGTTTACTGTAATGAGGTATTTTTCCCCCATGCCTATTTTGACTTCTATAGGATATTATATTTTTTAAGGTACATCCTGGGGCCAGGGAACAGAGCAGAGTACCCAGACCCTTAAAAAGGTAAACCTGGTGGCTGTTCCTATTGGTCACAGTAGCATCTGTGGTTCTCTAGATATTGAAGTAAATAAAAAAAGAAATATTCATGAAGTAG